AGTGGGATACGCAGGCTCAGCCATCTGCGAGGGAGAACAGTTGGCTCCTGCAGATGAAGTGTCTGAGTGTCTGCAGCTTTCAAATAGGCCAGGTAATTTTACACATTAAAAAGAAATGCACAAGTTTTGTTTATGAAAGGCAGGACTCTAAATAGCAAAGCAAGCAAATGATTACAATTAAGAAGTAATTGAAAGCACATTGAGGAAAAGGACAGACATTCCTTGTTGATCCTCATCCTTTTGCTGATGAAAGCACTGGTGTGCTGGGCATTCTCCAGAGCATGACTTTCCATGTGAGACCTCCCACCTGAGCTAAAAGGTGGGGCAAAGAACGTAGGTCCCTGGAGGATAATCTCTTCAGAACACTGGGAGAGGTCAGAATCGATGGGAGGGGCTTGTTGGAATTGGATGTCTCGTGTCTATTTCCGAATATAGCACATGCTACCATCCCCAAACCTGGTACTAACTTACCTGTACTTCATTTTCAAAACTTTATCCATTTTAAAATGTCACATGAATGAAACCAAATGTAACCTTTTGGGTTGTTCCCCCCCCCCTCCATTAAGAAAGATTCTCTGGAAATTTATCCAAATTGTTAGCTATATTAATAGTTCATTTCTTTTATGCTGTCTAGTATTCCATAGTATGAATGTACCACATTTTTGTTTAACTCTTCGCCCATTGAAGGACATGAGGGTTGTTTCCAGTTTGGGGTTATTGCAGATTGAATATCTTATATCTGAAATGCTTGAGACCAGAAAGTGTTCAGATTTGGGATTTTTAAAAATATTTTTATATATAATGAGTTACCTTAGGGATGGGACCCATGTCTAATCATAAAATTCATGTTTTATACATACCTTTTATATATATACACACACACACACACACACACACACATACACACACATACCTTATGTATATGACCTACAGATTATTTTATACAATAATTTTGATGCTTCTACATTTGATTATGACTTGTCACATGTGGCCAGGTGTGGAATTTGGGGAGTATCATGAGAGTGCTCAAAAAACTTCATATTTTGGAGCATATTAGATTTCAGATTCTTAGAACCTGTGGAACCTGTACAAATGCTGTCGACATTTATTTACAGATTTTTTTTTGTGTGTGGACATAAATGTATTTCTCAGGAATATATTTTTAACAGTGAAATTGTTGGGTCATATGTTAGTTAAATGTTTGGTTTTTTAAGACACTGCCAATATGTCTAGAGAAACCATTTTTTTAAAAATGAATATGTCTAACTTCACAGGATTCTGTGCTCAGTCTAAAAATCAATCTTTTCTTTTGATTTTTGTGTAGCCACACCATATCCTGGTGGATTTAAATGTTTCACCTGCGAAAAGGCAGCAGACAATTATGAATGCAACAGATGGGCTCCAGACATCTACTGTCCTCGAGGTAAACTGTCAATAGACAGATTGGGGTCCCCGAAGCTGTTCATGAGTGAGTAGCCCTATAGACCTGGTGCATGCCTGCAATCTCAATGGTTCCTCTAGTCTTAGGTTTAGTATATCTTTTAAGCTGCACCAATAACTTTTCCTCAAAGACTCTCAGAAATATAAAGGGATCCATAATATTGCCCCCTTTTTCATGAAGCATCTGTGGAGCTCCAGGATACTTAAAAGAGACTTCCCCAGACAGGTCAGCCAAATGCAGAATAGGAAGATAACCGCCAATTTGTCTGACCCTCTTTGAAGCATTAGTCATTGCATAGTAATTTCTTTCATGTAAAGTAGGCATTGATGCTCATATAAAGATTCCATTTATTACATATCTTACCAGAGACTTCTATACTGAGACTGCATGAAAGCTAGAATTCTAAATGTCATCATTGCCAAAAATAAAAAATCCTGAGCTCTTTTAAATATTAAACTTAATGTTTAAATGGTGTCCATTTGAAGATTGAAATTTTATCCCAAATCCCCATTTCATAATGAAGGCAAGTCATAGTCAGATCTCTTTTATCCTGTTAAGTAAACAAGATTTTTCTTTGTGGCTCTGGAATAATTGTTGATTGGCTGCTATATTTTGCAGGAGAGTGGATTCCTTTAGTGTGAGGAGGAGGATGAGGGAGGGGTATTTTATTGGCAAATGTTTGAGTGAGTAGTTAGCACACTTCACTACTAATCCAATTCAGTTATCAAAGTGACTGGACACACCAAATGCATTATTTTTCAACATAATGCAGGAGCTCTCATGCTCAATCCAAAGAATGGCCTTCTGCTTCTCAAGGTAGAGTGGAAACTGCAAGAGCCCAGAAAATGCCATTAAAAGACAGATGTCAGCTACCTGAGCCAGTGCTGTTGAACCCAGGAGCCTCTATCTAGGCTGTACAGTAGAAATACCTGTATGACCTTACAGATGTCCCTAAAGCCTGTGTCCTGCCTAGACCAATGGCTCCAAACTTCAGTGCAATCACTCCATGGAGAGCTTATTAAAACACAGACTTCTGCTACCACCCACTCACCTTCTCCACCTGAATATCTGCTTCATTACATCTGAGATGGCTTCAAATTTTGCATGTCTAAAGAACCCCCCAATGATGCAGATGCTTCTGGTCTGAAGACCACTTCTTAAGAACCACAACTTTATACAAACTAAACAAGCATCTCCAAGATTAGTGTCCTGCACTAGTACTTGCAAATATCCCAGGTGATTTTAATGAGCAGTCAAGGGCAAGAACCACTGGGGCCTCATCTACCTGCTGATCAGGAAATGTGTTGTGATTTCTAGATTCTTCTGTTTATTGTTAGGTAGAGATGTCAGTGGAGTCCCAAAAGATTACAGGGAAGAGAAAAAAATGGAGACACTAAAGACTGCCTTAATCACAAATTAGATGTCCAGTCACCTGGGTAACCAATGGTAAGTCCTGTCCCTAGTGTCTTCTGCTGTCCTGCTCATTTCTCGATGAGCCAGTATTTTTTGACTTTAACATTGCAGGATAAACAACTGGGCAAGGTACTAAGAGACCTGATTGAACCACTGCTTCTCAAACGTGGCTGTACATTGAAACCACCTAGTAAAGCTTTGAAAACACTGATGTCTGGGTCCATTCCCAGAATTCCTAATTAACTGGCGCATGGGGTATGGCTGGGAATAAGGATTTTCAGAAGTTCCCTGGGTCACTAATATGCACCAAAATTTGACAATTGTAAACAGTGACTCTGGACAAAAACAGGATGATTTGCTGTGTATCCAGTAACTTCTGGGTTGGTTCCTGCTGGGACAAAGCTAGCCAATTGTCTTCTGAAACTGTGGCTACTGGTCAGAGATAGTACACAGGAAGTGTATCTTATTCTGTGCCGCTCTAACATAATATCTCAGACACAGTAATTTATAAACAACAGACATTCATCTCTCATGGTTTTGGGTGCTGGGAGTCTAAGATGGAGGTGTCATGTTAGCAGGTCCAGTGTCTAGTGAGGACTTTGTTCCCATGCCTGCAAGATAGCATCTTGTTGCATCCCCTGGAGGGGAAGAGTGTAGTGTCCTCATATATCAAAAGGCAGAAGGGATGGAAGGGAACACACCTAATCCCTGGAGCCTTTTGTAAGGATCCCAATCTCCCCATGAGGGATCTATTCTCCTGACTTAACCACCTCTTAAAGACTTCACCTTTCAATATCATCACATTGACAATTAAGTTTCAACATGAATTGTGGGGGACACATCTAGGCCACGGCAAAGTGTGGCTGTGCTTGTCTTAGGATGGACTCAGCTCTGAGGCACCTTAGCAGATGTTATGCAGAGGAAAAGGAAGGTATGTGAGCTGGTCTTCTCTGCAGACTTGATTATATACAAGTACATCCCTGTCTCAAAAAACAAACAAACAAACAAAAAGAGCAGGGTGACCGGAATCACTGTGGGAGTGCTTCTCAGGGAAAGAGAAAGCTGCATCTGGATGTTTTCTTCTAAGATTAGAATCTATCCTTTCAAAGGACAGATACCTAAAAGTACCACAGAGTGATCTTTATACAATTTATCCTTTTCTCTTTTCTCCTCTACACATTTTTATCCTTTTTTTTTTTTTTTTTTTGGTCTTTAAATTTATAGGGATAAATGGAAAGTCTTGCACTGAGGTTCATGGCATAAAATGACCAGCCAAGCCCCTGGGGCGATTAAGCAGTGAGAGATTGGAATCTGGTTTCTTCTTTCCAGGAGCAGGCAGTTTAGCCTGGGAGATAAGATCTGAATATATCAAATGTCAAAAACAGCAGGGCAAAATTAAGTGCCAAATGAAACATGGCATTGAGTGCGGTGGGAGTTTAAGGGAAGAAGAGCATCTGGGGGCTGAGTTTGCCAGTGAAAGCATCATGTGCTGGGAGCCCTGCAACAGGCCGTTCGACACCTGGGAAATGGGTTCAGAACCCTGGAGAAGGCAAGTCTTCCTGGAAGTCCTTCAGAACCATGGAGACAGGATTTTCCAAGTGTGCTCTGTGGATGAGGAGAGACCTCATCTGGGAGTAGCAACCAGTTAGTATGAAAGAATAATAGGAGCAAAATAGTGGAGCCAGGTTGTTTGTGTGGAGCCTTGAGCATCAGGTAAAGGAGTGGGCACTCAAGCTCTAACCTGGGAAAAGGTGTAACCCTAACCCTAACCCTCATCTTGTTGCACACTCAGCCTCCAGCTTGATCAGCCTTCTTCCCGTGGGTCTGCTGCTGTTTAATCCATGTTTTCTCCATATTTTTTAATCAAGTAAAAATAGCACAATTTTATTATTAGATTAAAATGTAAAATGTCTTTACTAACCAACCCTGTGTTTGTTTTCTGGCTTATCATGCCTGGAGCAGGTATAAGAATATCAACAGTGGAGCTCAGAAGCTGCCATGGAAAGGCTTCCTGGCTTTCTGAGACATTTCTGGGGTTTTGTTGGTTGTTTTGTGACATATTTAACTAGGTTTTAATTATTGGAGGTGAAAAAAACCCGTTTCACATATGCATTTAATTTTATCTATATGGAATTAGCACCCACACCTAATTGTTTGGGAAACGACTTTATTCTGAGAATTTTTGAAAACTTAATTCAGTTAGTGGTTGAACATGGAGACCCAGTGTGTCCTAATGGCTCATGCTTCTGGAGTTGATAGGTTTGTTGTGAATCATCATTGGGTCCAACATGCTTGGAGAAAGTCTAGCCCTGACTAGAGTCACTCCTCTAGCTGTGGTGGAGTCAGCCAGCCACACTTGTAGCTGACACAGGTTCCCTGTCACTCTGACTTTGGGAATGTACATTGTATATGTATTTCCTCCTCCATTCCATTGCTTTTACCTCTGTGCTTCCAGATTCCTGGTACCATACTCACTCCCTAGCAACGAGAATTGAAGATGTCCTCCATAAATGGCTCCTATTGCCATACGTGTAATTTCAGGAACTGCACCTGACAAATCTGTTCAACTTTCTTGGTTTTGTGAACCAGAATGAGAAAAGATCTTAAAACCGTGTTATAAGGGACCAATCGAAGGAACTGATGTGGTAAAATAAAAGCTGAGTGTCACGTACTCGGATCCATGTCATTTCGCCCATGACTTTTCTCTGTGCTGCAAGATTAAAAGTTCCTTGAGAGAGGAACTGTATAAATGTTTAGTAAGTGTCTGTGGAATTAAATGTCAAGTCAAAAACATTACAGTTTTTAAAAAAGACCTGCTCTGCAGCGGACACCTAAGCCAAGGATAGTATGTTCCTTCTTAATTAGGAAGTACAGTTGCCTCCCTCTAAGGCATGATCTTCATGTGAATTTATTGCTGACAGGAAATCAGAAAAAAAATTTTGAGACAGAGGACACATATTCTTTTGACTCCAACCTCTGTGCTGCTCACTGAAAATGAATGAACGAAGATGTTCCTTGATACCTCTTTCCAGACCAGTTGTCTCATGGTTCCTGGTACAAGCAGGAAATAGAAATGGGATTCCCAGCTCAACTGAAGGTTACAAATGTCCAGGAAAGACTTCTTCATTGACAGACAGAGGCATGGCTGAAATAGATAACCTTTTATTTTAACACATAACTGAAGGGTGGGTTTTTTTCTTTCTTCTACTCAATTTTATACTTAGAATCTGGCCCTTCAATGTTTCTATCCTTTTTACCTAAGTGTTTCTAAATCCCGTCAAGACCCAATACAATTTCTTACTGATTATCTTTAATATGGCCTCTTCTCCGAGATAGTGAAATCAATACCTCATTCAGGGCTGGCCCATGGAATGTGTCTCTCTGGAGAGTGCATTTGTGCATCTATAAATATGTTGGTTATATTTTATCCACCACTTCTGACTGCTAAGTAATGAGATGTTTTCAAGATTCTCTTTTATTATTATTAATTGCTAAATAGAAGTCTTAGACTTCCTCCTTTTTAAAGAAAAAATTTTAATTAAATGTTAGAATACATACTGGAAAGGGAACGGATCATAGTGCATAACTTGTGAATTTTTACAAGGTAAGCATTCAGGGTCTACCACCCATGTAAAGCAGTAGACCCCAGAGTCTCTTAGTCATTATGCCCCGCTCCATAAAGGGAACATTACTGTGAGTACTGCCTTTGAGCTTCCTATTAGTGGAGCTGTAGGGAATGTATATTCTCCTTGCTTTCACACATTATAAGTATGAAAATTATCCATGTTTTATAAGCAATGAAGTCATTGTTTCTCAAAGATGTATAGTCGATCATTATATGAATATACCAAAATTCATCTATTCTACTGTTGATGGATTTTGCATTGTGTCCAATATTTCAAAACCATGAACATTCTTACACATGTCCTTTGGTACACATTTGCATGGATTTCTGCCCAGTCTATCCCAGACACATTATTGCCAGGCATGGGGCAGGTGAGTGTTGTCTTTATCAAAGGTCACCTAATAGTTTAAAACTGCCTGTACCAATTACACGATCACTAGCCATGAACACAAGTGCCAGTTGCTACACAACCTTGCCAACACTTAGTATTGACAGAGACAATAGAAGCCAGCAGTTAATGGCATTTTTTTAAAGTGCTAAAAGTGAATAACTGCCAATCTTGAATTTTAGCCCAAGCCTGTCAGTCTCACCTCTCTCTTGGCTTTGCTGCCAGCTCTGAACTCATGTTTGTGCATCCCAGGCCCCTGGAGAACAACAAAGGCTCTGCCCTACTTCTCTGCCCCTTGGCAGGGCTTTCTGCTTGGCTTCTCAGCCTCTCCACCTGTGCAGTTTTTGCATCAGCAAATGCCTGGAGGGGAAAACAGGTACAGAATGTCAGGGTGAACTTAAAAAAACCACTTTTCTTTCCTCTGCTACCTTGCTCTTCAAATCCTACCCATCCTGGTAGAGCTCCTGCATTTTCATACAGATTTTTGTTATTTTAGTTTTATCCTGCTACTTTAACTTTATTGTGTTTCTCGGGAAGATGATATAAGCTGGCATCTCAGCCTATTTCTCAAACTTATTTAATTAGAATTTTTCCAGCAACTTTGAAGCCCAAAGTGCTACCATTCTATTTTCAGAAAGTTTTATTTTTTTCTCCACACTGAGAGCATCTAACCTGCTTCATTCACAGTGTTTCTATTCAGATATTTTCTGTTCTTTCTTTCTTTCTTTATTTATTTATTTTTTCAGTGCTGAGATTGAACTCAGGGCCTCACACATCAGGCAAGTGCTCAACCCTGAGCCACATCCCTGGCCCTGTCCAGATATTTTCTGTTACCACAGTAGCCTCCGATGGAATCATCCCCTGGATGCTTTTGTCCTCTTTTGTTTTCCCACTGTCACTGTCAAATCCGGCCTAGCCCCTCTACCTTATCCTACCTTTCCAACTGCATCTTTGAACCTTCACCTGGTAACGAGCACATTGCTTCCTGAATTTCAGCAATTTTTTTTTTTTAAAAAAGAAAGTTTCCTCAAATGAGTGTGTCACCTATCCTTAAGAAGTGTGGATGATGTTTTTGCAAAGATGGGGAGGTGTCTGTCTGTCTGGCAGTTTCTGCAAAGGGTACTGACCGCAGGAAAAGGACCTTGATCATGACTCAGTTTGATTGATGAGCAATTATTTAGATTAAATTTCCGCCTGGAGGAATTTCTTACGTGAGACAAGAGAAGGAAACACATCTTTTTCAGGTATCTGTGGAGAGTCATTGATACAAGCAGGAAAACCAAGAGAATAATCTGGTGCCTGGGTGCCAGAGGCTGTGTAATAATTCCTAATTAGGGCAAGCTTTAAATAATTCAGCCTCTCTGTGCTCAGTTTGCAGTTCTTCCTCTTCATAACTCTATTTTCTTTCATCTTGAGTTCTTTCTTCTTTCACTTTCAATTTCACTGAACTTTGAATTAAGGTATAGCATACACATGGAATATTGAACAGTGTCGTGGTTTTATTTTTCACATATTGAACTCACCATGGAGAAGCACCCAGATGATGAAATCACTATTTCCAGGAGCTTAAAAGTTCCCTCCTGCCCTCCCTTTCTTTCTTTCTTTCTTCCTTTTTTTCTTTCATTTTTTTCATTCTTTTCTCTACCAAATGTCTCTGTTGTGGACTGAGTTGTGTCCTGCCCCCAAATTTATATACTGTGGTCCTGATCCCTAGTACCTTAGGATATGACTGTGTTTGGAGATAGAATCTATGAAGTGGTAATTAAAATTAGATGAAGTCACTGGGCAGATCCTTAATCCTATACAACTGGTATCCTCATAAGAAGAGATTAGAACACAGACACACAGGCATGATGATGAGAAGACACAGGGAGAAGATAGCCATCTGCAAGCCAGCACCTTGACTTCAAACTTCTCCAAAACTGGAGAGTTTTGTCAAAGTCAATTACTCTGTGGTAGTTTTCTTATGTCAGCCCTAGAAAACAAATATAGCTCCTGGAAGCCATATGCAGTAGTGTAGGACTGTAATCCTGGAGATTTGGGAGGCTGAGGCAGGAGGATCAAAAGTTTGAGGCCTGCCTCAGCTTTTTAGCAAGACCCTCTGTCAGAATAAAAAAGAACTAGGGATGTAGCTCAGTGGTAAAGCAACTCTAGATTCAATCTGACAATAAACTAGTATTGAGTTCTTTTCAGAAATAGAATACCTTTTTGTATCTAACTTCTTTCACTCAAAATTCATTTTGTTAGCTAGCTGTCATTATTATATGAATATGTACCATAATTTATTCTACCACTAATGGCATTTTTATAGTTTCTAGTTTTCATTTGTATAGGTAGTTCTTCTATAAACAGCCTAGGGGCAGAATTTCTGGTTCATATAATATGAATGTTTATTCTTATGTGATCCAAGCAAATAATTTTCCAAAGTAGTTCTACTACAAGAAAATTATATTTCCAGTAAAAGTATATTATTTGGGCTGGAGCTATAGCTCAGTGGCAGAGCACTTGCCTACCATGTGTAAGGCACTGGGTTCTGTCCTCAGCACCATGTAAAAATAAACAAATAAAATAAAGGCATTCTGTCCATCTACAACTACAAAAAAAAATTAAGTATATTATTTTATTTTCAAATTGGATGAGACCATTCAAAATACAGATATAGAAGAGATGATAAGGTACCATAGAGCTAAATGATTTTAATTTGGTTCAGCTATGATTAGAAGAGCTAGGCTGGCTGTTTCCTTGGTGCCATTCTATCTGTGTTCATTGTGAGTGGAGAGTGCAGACTCAATAAGAATGGACCTTCTTCTCAAGGTTATGATTATAATATAGAGGTGTTGATCTCAACCAGGAATGATTCCCCTGACTCTGGGAGAAATCAGTTGATATTTGAAGACATTTGGTGATATTGGCATCCAGTTAGAGGAAGCCATGGATTTTGCTAAATACCCCGGGATGCACAGAACCTTCCCCCATGTGGAACTGTCTAGCCTAAAGTGTCAGAGGACTGATGACTTCCACTTCTGGAACTATGAAGCAGATGTACGTTTCCATTCCTTCTGCCAACTACAACTAAAATTCTGATCATTGTAGATAAACAAACATGAAAACCCATAAACCCAAAACAGCAAAAGACTCTGAAAGGTGGAAAGAGAGAAAATGACAGACTAGCTATTGACTTCAGGACCCAAAGAACAACACAATGGTGAGGGCAGCAGGTGTCGTTTCTGCCTCATAAATTCTAGACCTGGAGCTGAAGAAGTCGACACCCTGAGAATGTCACAAGCATCAACAAAATGAGCCCTAACAGAAATGTGCTCTCTCTAGCCAAAGGACAAGAAAAATATCACCTAAAAAGACAGAAAACTTAGTGACTACTCTATTCTAGCCAAACACCCACAGGAAAAAAAAAAATTGTATCCCCACCTACACCAGCAAAGGCTGAAAAATGAAGAGCCTTGACTTCCATGCACAACAGGACATGTCGGCTGAGCTGAGGCACCCTGGCCTCCCTGCTGGGATGGTGTGAGAGAACAATTAAGGGGAATCTCATCCCCCTCTGGGCAGTCATGAGGTCTCCTCAGTGTCAGTGGAGACTACATGGGCTGATCTCCAAGTCTACCAGCATGAATTCTAGACCTGGAGCTGAGATACCGCTACATCTCCCTGGGGTTGAGTCAGAAGAGACTTAGTGGAGAGACAGGAAATCACCACCACCATTTGTCATAAGGCCATCCTCTCTCAGAGCATTAATAGAAGTCAGTGTGAAGCATTAATGAGGCATTCCTGTTCTTCCTCCAGAAGAGAAGAGTCAAAAGATCCAGAGTATCATAATGCCAATATGTTCCTATTTCAATAAAAATAAAAAAACCTTGTGCCACAAGAAATATTTCAAATTGAATGAAAAATGACAATAGTGTATTAGTCTACTTTCTATTATAGCAAATACCTAAGGTAATTAACTTAAAAACAAGAACACTCTATTTTGGCTTTCAGTTTTTGAAGGTTCAGTTCATGGCCAGCTGGCCCCACTGTTTTGGGGTCTGTGGCAAGGTAGTTCATCATGGGTAGAGCACATGGGAGAAGCAATCTGCTCACCTTAAGATGGTTAAGAAGCAAAAAGAGAGAGAGGGAGAGAACAGCATTCCTCAATCCCCTTAAAGGCCATGCGCCCAGTGACCTAACTTCCTATGCTGGCCCCACCTCTTTTTTTTTATTAGTTGTTCATGACAGTACAATGGTCTTGACATATCATACATTTGAATCAAATGGGGTATAATCTCTCATTTTTCCAAGTGTACCGGTTGCAGAATCACATTGGTCATGCAGTCACATATATATATA